ACTGATGTGTCTCTCCCTCTCTTTCTTCCTCCCTTCCCCTTCCTACAAATAAAAAAAAAACTTTAAAAAATAAATATATTGGCACACATAGGTTCTTACTTTCTTCTTGGTGTCTACGGGCTCTGCAGAGGGGTCCTCTTCTTCTGCCCCTGGTGTTGGCTATTTGTGCATTGTTTCCTTTCTTCCTGGGTGACCTCAGGAGAACTCACACTTGTCAGAAAACAACTTCGGGTTGCCTCAGTGCTTTCTATTTCACTAATCTTGGCCCTTTATTTCTCTGTCTTTTGCTCTCACTAGGCTTATTTTGCTGGACTGGAAAGACTTGGAAAGAATGGAAAACAGAGAGCAGGCCAGGCAGACACACTAAGGAAGCCAAGTCACAAGCAGGACCCTCAGGCCAGGGGCCTTGCCAGGTCGCTCTTGGAGTCCGGTGCTGTTCCTCTTCCCACCCACCTCCACTGCAGCACCCCGCCCCCCCGCCCCCCCCCCCAACACCCCTGGCTCCCAGCTCAGGTCCACGTCCACTTCCTTCCACAGCTCGAAAAACTCAGTAGACATTCCTGAAAACAAGGGGCCTGGTCAATCGGTGATTTTCACACCGTACCTGCCTGGGCCCACGGTGCAGAAGAGGCTCCAGTGTGTGATGTGAGGAGGCCCTGTCACAGGCAGCTGGCTTTGACTTGTCTCAAGTATGGTCCTTCCACAGAAAACGGGACCTGGGAAAGGACTTTAGCAACTCAAAACTTGAAAACACTTTGGTGGTTCAAATGTAAACAGATTGGTTTTCTCTGCCGGCTCGATTCCCACGAACCTTGGATCAAGTCCTGGAATCTCTCTGCACGTCAGCGATCGCCCCGTTGGTGGCCATGATGGCGGCGACACAGACCTCGTCAAGACTAAATATGTAACAACGTGCGAGGCCCGTCCACGGGGCTCTTCCTCCACAAGGGTTGTTTTTCATCTTGCTCTAAACACGGCCGTGGAAAAGCTCCTTGGGTCGCTTCCGGCCGCGGGAGGCTGGACGGAGGCCATGCCCACCCCGTGCAAGAGCTTCCCTCCAGCATTTCCTGGAAAACTCTTCAGCAGCCCAGCCATCAGCTCAGCAGACTCAGGAGCCCCCTTATTTTGACTTGACCATGACCCTGCCCAGGCAAACAGCCTTCTGGGAGCTCCCGCCTTCTGTTTCCATAAGAGGCAGGCAGAGGGGCTGTAGGAGAACAGGTTGAGACAAGCCCAGGGATCAAGGACTCTCAGGGTCACGGTCACGCATGCAACCCACAGCCCTTCTGTGCCAGCCGCTCACAGTGGCTGCCTTCAGCCCCCGGGTGCTCGCTCAGCCAGGCGAGGCCCCTCCCTCCCGCCCTCTCGCCCTCCTTCTTTCTCCTTCTGACTGTTTCTCTCTTCCTCTAGGAAGTCCAAGCCAAAGGGCCTCGCTTCCCAGCCTACCAGAGCAGCAGGGGTCCTGAGAGCTTCACTTTAACATCCAAGTTTAAAGACAGACAGTGGAGCCCAGGTTGGGGGCAAGAGGAGACCCACCCTCCACCCCGTCCCAGGTCACGGCAGAGCCAGAATAAAAGCCAGTTGCCCACTCTAAACCGAGGGCCTTGTCTTCGGCCCCAGCCGATCTTCCCAAACTCTGCAGATGAGGGGCCCTATCCAGGATCTGTGCCATTGGCCTCCAAGGCCAGCAGTCATGTGTCGCTTCCCTGCGGCTGAAAAAAGAAAAGTGACCTCCAATCTCGAGCCACAGGTCTCACGTCCTGCTCCCTCCCGGCCTCTTTGCTCTCCCTCTCATTTCCTGCGGCAGTCCAGCGGAGAAAAATGTGACACCTCCTAATGGGTTTTTTCTTGGTGACTTCATTTCTAGAGGCACCTTCTGCAGAGGCTGAAGAGCTCAGCAGAGCGCCAGCAGCCTGCGTGCCCAGAAAGCTGTCACGTGGGTAGAAATCCCCTTCTCGCTCCACGCTCACCACAGCTCACCCCGTTTCCCATCGACTCCGAGCCGAAGTTCTGCCCCAGAAGACAGACCTCGGACTAACTGGGGACCTGATACTCAGCGGATAGGATCTGTCCAGACTACGGGATCCAGACCTCCTGTTACTACATCAAAAGCAGGCCCGGAGAGGGCCAGTCACGTACCACTCCCTGTCCCCTGCCTGGGCGCCTGCTCACACGCTCGCCGTGGCTTGGGTGGCCAGGCCAGCTTCCCCCAGGCTGGCAAAGACAGGGACTGCCTGCAGAGGCCCCTTCTTCCAGGAGGAAGGAGGAGGCCACCCGTCTCTCGAGTAGAACTTGCAAGTGCCCCAACTAACATTGCTGGCGCTTCCCCACTCCCGCTGCAGAAACGCATGGGCCAAGGACATCGGCCCCTGCCCGAGGGAGAACTACGTGACACACCTGGGTGGCAGGCCTCACGCCCGGAGGCCCTGAAGGCTGCCAGCCCCTCCGAGACCAAGCTGAGTGTGAAGGGGGCGGGTTGGCTCTCCCCCAGCCCTCCCTGGGCTGACTGTCTTGTAATTTTCAAAGAGGGTGTTTTGTGATGCAACACTGCCTTGTCTTAAGTAATATTTACTATTATTTGAATTTGTCGCTGGTTTGGGGTTCCTTTGGAATATGGGTGATCTTTTTTATTGACTCGATTGGGGTGACATTGGTTAATAAAGTTGTATAGGCTGCAGGTCTACGATTCGATAATAGGCCATCCGTACCCTGCATTGCATGGCCGGTGCCCCGGGTCACGTCTCCTCCCTTCGCCATCCCCCCCTTTGCGCTCTCCTACCTTCTCCCACTCCCGTCCCCTCTGTTGTCACCCTGCTGTTGTCCGTGTCTATGAGTTGTTATTGTTTGTTCGTTTTGCTTAAACTCTTCACTTTTATTTGTTTTAAAAGCAAGGCCTTGAGCCAATTGGGCGGGGGTACAGGGGGGAAGAGGCACGCCCACAACCCCTGCCTGACCCCCCAAGGGTTGTGGGCGTGCCTGCAAGAGCCACGGGGGTGAAGGGCTATGGCAACGAGGGCAGAGCAGACGGTGCCTTGTGAATGTCAGGTGGTGTCTTGTGGAAAGATGAATGCAATCGTAGGACTGCTGATTTTTTTTTTGCAGAAAATACATTTTGTTTAAAATCTCTAACAGTGGTGTTTTCTTGGATAGCAACTTCTGACCAGTAGGGGGCATGCAGGCGGATGGCAGAGGGTGCTGGAGGCACGCGGTTGCGGTGGGCCCTGGCCATGGCAAGCCTGGGCTCACCTGAGGGTCAGGGAGGGCCTGGCCTAGCAGTCCAGAACATTCTGGAGCAAAAGCTCCAGTCCCAGCATCTGCGTCTAACTCTCCCTGAGCACCTGCCTCCCCTCTGGGAGCCGTCCCCCACGCTGGGGTAACACACACCTTACGTGCGCTTAACCACCTCCCCCCACCCGCCGCCAGGGAAAAACCAGATAACCCAGCCCTAGTTAGCATTGGACTTGACAGAGAAGCTGGGGCAAGATAACGTTGGAGGACGTAGCATGGCTTTTAGGAAGGTTCTTACAGAGGACGTGCAGGATGGAAAAGAGGGGCAGGAAGGACTCTCCCCATGTGGTCAGAGTTGGGTTCCAGCAGGGAAGTGTTACAGATGTTAAAAAGGAAGGTGGTGGTGTGGTTGCAGAGCGACTGCAATGTCAAGGTGGTGAGTCTGGAGGTGGCCCTGGAGGCCGGAGGGAGCACCCGAAGCCTTGGAGCCGTGGGGGGCGAGGGGGTCAGGAGGGTGCCTGTGGCCCCGGCCAGGAGGGAGTTGGTGAGAGGGAGCTGAGGGCAGCCTGGTTCAGGCACAAGAACATAGGGTTGGCCAGGAGGTCATGGGAGCAGAGGGGTGGGGCAGTTTAAGATGAGTGGTCCAGGCCATGTGACAGGTTGGACGCTGGAGAAAGAGGGGGGAGCCCCGAGAGGCAGGGCCGGAGACCTGCTCCCCTACGGCCACCACGCTGGTCTTCCGGGGGTGCTCATCTCGGGACCCGGAATTCACTGCCCTCCTTTGCTGTTCCCCTGAGAGTCACGCATCACACAAGCTGGAGCTCATGACTGTCCTTTCTTCTATGTCCACCAAGGGGTCCCCTGCTCTCCCAAGACTGACTCCCTCCTTTAACTGAGCTCTGTTGGCGTCTCTATCGGATCTGGCCCCAGGCCTGCCGAACGCTCACCAGGACCCTCCCGGAGGAGAAGGCTCTGTCACCTGCTCTGTCCGTCTCGATAGTGGAGAGGGGGTCCCTGTGCCCTGTGGCCTCAAGCAGTCCCTCGGCACCTTTGGAAGCGGGAAGAAGCTCGGCCTGGGAGGCGGGAGCCCTGGGCTGTGAAAAGCCCTGACTTGCTGCGTGTCCTCAGGCCTATTCATGTTTTTCTCCGGTCTCATCTGTAAAATGGGCTGGTAACGTCCTACAGATGTGACCTCCCAGTGGTGACCTCACGGCATCCCCTGCAGCCAGAGAAGCTGCGACTTTCCGATGACATCAGCCCTTCAACCCACTGGGTGGGGGAGGGAGGGAGGGTGTCTGGCGCCCAAATGTGGACCCAACCCTGGGCACCAGCTTGCTGCTACTGGGTGCCTTCTGTCACTGTCCCCCTGGGGGCAGAGAATCTGCCTCCGAACCAGAACCGCGAGTCCCCACGTGCCCTTCACAACAAAGACAGCCAGCTGGGAGGAGTCAGTCATTTATTGGCTCCTAATGACATTGTTCCCTTGGCACCAGGTTCCACATGTCGTCTCCTCCCCGACTCTCCAGCCCCTCCATGACAATCAAGTTTGCACCCGGAAATCCCGGGGGGCGGGTCTAAGAGGCTCAGGGAGGCAGGAATGGAAGATTCTATAATTTAAATATATACAGTGTGACAACATAGCTTATCAGGACCCACCAGACCCTGCACGGCCCAGCCACGTTGGTGCAGGATGCATGGAGGGCTGGGGATTGGGGTCGCGGGGGGAGGGGCAAAGGCACGGTCTCCGGAGTCCCTGGCAGGAGGGCTTCACATCACTTTCCCACCGGGTTACACGTTTTTATCTTCTTTAAATAATGAACAACCCACTTCTCTTTGCTAGGGGCACAGCTTCTACTGCCTTTCTTCATCTGGAATCTGTGGCAGAAAACAAAGAAGGCACCGAATTACCCGCTGGGCACCCCTCACAAGCCCCATCGCCCCTCCTTGCTTCTGGGCGCCCCTAAGCCGCAGTCTCGGTAGAATGTGAAGTCGCTGCGTCAGACTTGTGGCTTGCGCACCAACAGGAACACCCAAGCTCCGGCGGAGCTTATTAAATCGTGTTTCCTGAATCTTTTTCCTTGAGATTTCGATTGGTGTATCAGAGTGCAGCTGAAGGCTGAAGACATCCTGAGGATTGACTAGCAGAGAAATTCCCCTCCTGGAATATCTCCAAGGGTCCCCTGCTCCATCTTTCTGTGCACATCTGGGACGCTCAGTCGTTCTTCAGACATGTGTGCGGGTGTTTCTTTTCTGATCTGCCCACTTCCCAAACTTGGCTATTGTCCCAACTAGAGACCTGCGCTGCCTTTATTGTCTGGGTGACCTTAGACAAAACCTTCTACCTCCCTGAACCTCAGTTTTCAAGGTAATGAAAATGTGTGCCCCAAGGTGGTTAACCAAGACAATATACATGAAAGTGCCTGATAGCCCTGTGTGAGAAGTATAACTACTTCATGCGAGCTTCCTGACGGTTCCGTGACGCAGCTGCGGTATCTACTCCACCTCACAGGTAAGGAGTGCAAAGCGTACTTGGATAATGCGGTGCAGTCCAGTTAGAGGCCCAGGGCCACCCAAGACTCTAAATTGGCAAATCTGGAGCTGGAAACTAATCTAGCCTCCCTCACTCTTTTCACGCTGCAGCAATGCCGGGAGCTTGGAAGCAAGTCCATCCTCTGGGCACATCATATTTAAATATGATACTTGGCTCCTTGAGGCTCCTAGGAACAAAGCCACTGCAGGAACCCATGGGCATCCCTTCCGGTCCATGCCAGGAACGCGGAGCAGCCCTTAGCGTCCACACTCAGCTCTGCACCCAGGTTTTGATGCCCCCCCTTCCCCGTTTAGAAACCTTAATCTGGTGGGACAGCGCCATCTAGCGTCCACTATTCTAATTTCAGGTGAGCGGGTTTGCGCTCTGGAGGAGGAAGTCAGGGATGGAACAGGGAACAGGCACTCACATTATCCCATCAGTGTTGGCGCAGGAGGAACTGACGTTTTTGTAACAATCGATTCTCGCCAGGGGAATTTGTTTCTTCACAAACTGGAAGCAGCAATTGGAGGATGCCACAAGCACTGTAAGAGAAACACAGAAATGGTTTGCATCTATTTCTCAACCTGGATTTTTTCCCTCACTTAAAAAAAAAAAAAAAAAAAAAAAAAAAGACAATCACCCAGGACAGGCTCAAGCTTTGGAACCACATTCCAAAGAGGGCCCAGGTGCAGCACGGTGCCATCGGCCACCTAGTCCTGCCTCTAGGCAGATTTAACCACTGGGGTTCAGATCCTGGCTCCCCACAAACCAGCTGGTAGCCTTGGTCAAGGTGCCTCGCCTGGGCCCACAGTCTGCCATCTGTGAAATGAGACCTTCTGGACTGATTTCTACAGGCTCTCCCAGTTTTGACACCCCTCCACTAGCGTGCGGCTCTGCCCCAGTATTTGGGTCCGAGAGCCCTGGATCTCACACTGTGGGGGCCTGGTGAGTTTGGTGCATGCAGAACAGCTACGGTGGAGAACCTGGGGTGGGATTAGAAACTGCTCAAGGAGTTCAAACTGATGCAGCGACAAAGGAAGAGCTACCAGGGTCGGGCTGGCTCCCCAACTTGCTCTCCTGAATGCCCTGCACCCCAAGTCCTCAGCTTTGCCCTGGCCCCCAGCCCCTGCCCGGCCAGTTTGCACACCCCCTCCCGCACTCCACCCTCAAAAGACTTGCATTCCAATCCTGGCTCCTGCCTCCGGGTTTTACTGTTGGCAATGCCCCTTTCGTGTATTTAGAGTTAGGTTGGTACTCTCCTAACAGCCTTGGAAGGAGGCGTGAGCAGGCCCACGTTAGTGATGGAGAAACCAGAGTTTGAGAGGGAAAATGACTTGCTCATGGTTAGCCAACGGTGACAGCCCCGGGTCTTGACCTCTGCCCATTGTCTGCTACATTGTGGAGGCAAGACCCAGCGTCCCCTCCGGACCTCAGGCCTCCCTGCTAGGACTTCAGAGCCTCCTAGCCCCCATACAACAGTCTGCAGGGGCGATAAAGCTCAGCGGTCTGCGTTTGCCCAGCCCACGGGTCTCCTACCAGCCCCCTGCCCCGGCCCGTTCCGAGGCCTTCATTCCACCTCTTCAGGAGGAGCTCTTCCTGGAGCAGGGGAGACGGCGGCCGGGGTTTAGGGTGAGCCCTGCCCACAGCCCCTGAGCACCTGCCCTCCCCACAGGAAGCAAAGGCACTCCAGCCCCACTCACAGCTCTTGCTGGTCACATCTTGCAGCAACATCCCCGCCACCAGCAGGCACACCAGGGCCATGGCAGTGGGCTTCATCGCAGGCTTTCTGGCGCAGGCCTCCCTGGGGTGGTCTCGAGGAGTCTGGTGAAGCTGAGTGCTCTTCTCTGGTCCATCCTTCAGCGCCCTGGTCTTTTATTAGGAACCCAGTGGAACTTCCCAGGCCCCGGTGCAGAGGTGGGGAAGTCACCCGGAGGGTAGGTGGTTACTTACGTCCAGTGACCACATTGGACCGCTCTTAGGGGTGTGTCAGTGTGTGGAAACTTACCCACGTGCAGGTGCAGATAAGGATCTGAAGAAAAAGGAGTAGGAGCTGTCCCTCTGAGAAGTGGAGAAAGGTGAATGAGAGGAAGTGGCCTGCCTGTGGCTTCTCTGGTCCCCTATCTTTTCATTCAGGGATGCAGCCCCATCCCCAGAGCAGGGCGGAGCTGATGCGCTCTGGGCCAGGATGGAGACACATCCGTGCTGCAGTCCCAGGTCTGTGAATTAGCAGTCGCCTAAACTCGCCCACGTCACCTCTCCGCCGCAGCACGGAGAGTAACGTGTGCCTCGCAGGCGTGCGACGAGAATTAAATAAGATCTGCTATGTCAAGTGCCTGGCCTTTCAATGTCTCCTGCCACCTTCCGTCTTTCGATGGCTTTTGCTGTGCTAGGCCCTCGGTTATCCCCGGGGAAGGTTGATGGGCTGCACAGCCTGACCTATAACCGCTGTCCTTTGACTCACGGATGAGCAAGTAAAAGCCAACCAGTGCGAGGACAGCGGTAGGTGGGCCCCGTGGAGGGTGCAGAGGGGGTTCCCCAAAGCACTGGGGAGGCCTCCCAGGGGCGCGCTCCCCGAGCAGAGCCTCCCGCCGAGGGCTGGACGGAAAGGGGACAGAGGAAGGGCTTGTGTGTGAACAGCGGGGCTCGAAGGGGCACATTCATTCATTCAGAGATGCAGAGAGAGACCAGTGAGGGAAAGGCGGGAGGAGACGTGACCATACAGCTGCGGAGCGGCCAGGCCGTGAAGCCGTTGTGCGCGGTGCCGGCAGTAAAGTAGCACGTAGCAGGGGCTCAGGGAAAAGCAGCTGGGCCGAATCTGTGTGTTCAAACCCTGTGGTCAACGTGCCTTATTTGATCAGAGAGCGCTGGCGCAGCTGAGCTACTCTGGTCGCACGCTCTCTAGCTCACAAATCGGCAGCGCTTCCCATGCTCACGTGGATGACGCTCAAGCCGTGCTCCCCCTGCCATGCAGGCTCCTCGTGCTCTGTCTCCAGGGATGCCTGCACGTTTGAGCATTTGCAGTTTCCCGGACTTGCCACGTGCTTTCCTACGCCCAGGGTTTTGCTTCCGCTGTAACCGCCACCTTCAGGGCCCTCCTTGCTGTCTCCCTCTGTGAACTTCCTGCCCGTCTCCAATGCCTTTGTCTCCTTAAAGACACTTTGGCTATTTCCATTCAGCCCCCCTTGAAGCCCCACTGTGGCTGGGTCTCCCCCATGAAGATCATCGATCTCCCCAACCCCTCTGCTCCATGAACCCTTCAGACGAACTCCTGGGTGGGCGTCCTGGTGTGTCACAGTTGAAAGGGCCTGGCAGACAGGGGCTCTTAAAGTTTCAAGGCTTTCAAAAGTGCATTGGCTTTGCCCTGATTGGGTGGCTCCGTTGGTTGGAGCATCATCCTGTGCACCAAAATGTTGTGGGTTCAATTCCCTGTCGGGGCACCTACCTAGGTGGCAGATTGGGTCTCTCGTTGGGGTACGTACAAGAGGCAACAGATCGATGTTTCTCTTTCACATCGATATTTCTCTTTCTCTCTCTGTCTTTCTCTCTTCCTCTCTAAAATCGATGAGCATATCCTTGGGTGAGGGTTAAAAAAAAAAAAAAAAAGGAAAGAAAAATGCCGTGGCCTCATTTCAGAGTCAGAATCAAAACGCATGTACCTATACTTGTAATGCAGGCCCTGAAAGATAAGACCCACATATCCAGCAGATCCTCTTCATATCACAGATGGGAAAAGGGAGTCTCAGAGAGAGGACACTGACTTCCCAAGGCCACACCGAGAATCCGCTGAGAGCTGGGACCCTGGGCACTCCGGGCGTCGTTGGGGCCCCCTGACCACCACGTCCATCAGCCCCCACCCCTCCCCAGCTGCTTTCCGCCTCCCAAAAAGCACTCAAAGAACAGAAATGATGAACCCGCTGCTGTCGCTCTCCTAGTCTCTTTGGCCTTGCTGATTGATTCTTTTTCTATTCCTTTGCTGTCGTGTTAGTGGTGTTTTGGGAGCTAAAGGGGAACACGGTGTGTGATCAGTCTGCTGAATGTAACCATAGGTCTTGTCAGCTCACTTGGGATGTGGAGAGGGGACATGTGGTCACCCAGGGAACCCTGCCCTTTCTCTTGGGGACGCAGCTGGCCCACTCAAGGCAGGGATGGGGCTGCCCCTCTGGAAACTCACTTCCCCTCACTGTACTCACTGTGAACCCAGGCCTGGGGCAGAGAGACCGAGGGGGTTACTTACAGCTTCCCCTTCCCCACGCCCCCTGCATCAAGAAAGAACTGGCTGGAAGCTCCTGTCACGCAGAAACCTTGGGCTCTACTCTCGCATCTGCCCAACACCAACCTAGCCTCTTCCTCTCTATCCTCTGCCCCAAAGCTGAGGGCCACAGAGTAAATCGATAAAGTGTGTGGCCTTGAATGAGGTGAGTGAGCCTGGTGCCAGATGGGCTGAGAAGCAAGAAATGCTCTCAGTGTAAACCCTGAGCCCGCCGTTCATACGAACAACCCTTTCCTTCGTTAGAAGCTGGAAAACCAGGAAGTGCCTGTAGAAATGTTCTCTCATCAGTGGTCTTTTATGACATTGGTCCCCACCTCTGGACCAGGGCCTGGTATCTCCTGCAAACACAAGTCCAGCTCACAGCCAGGCCCACGTGCACGCAGGAGCCTTGGGGTTCTTTTCCTGTGTTTTCTGGTGCCTCTTACACTCGGGTTGGGCTCCCCCATCTCCTATTTTCTCCCTCCCATTTGGCACTTTTGTTCTTTTAAGGAGGACCCTCTTCGCCGGTTCTCAGCAACAATGGGAAGGAGGCATTGAGCACCTCAACAACAAACCTTCAGGTGCCCAGAGAGAGTCACAGCGTGACAGTCATCAGCTTTTCCATGTGTGTACGCAGCCACCGAGCTTCTGAGCTGATGAGAACTTGGCCCACTGCGCTCGAGGGGAAGGACAAATGTCTCGCCCTGCACAGTCCTCCACGACACGGGCAACAGAGAGCTCTGGCTGCGTGGCCCCATCACCGTCCAGCCTACAGGGGGCGATCGTTCCAGCCCTGTGCTGTGGGGTGTCCCAGCTGTGCTGTCCCCGCTGGACTGCACTTACTCCTCGCAGCAGGCACCTGGGCCTGTTGCGTTGCCTCCTCGGGCACATCCCTCCCTTGTCTGCAGGCCTGCACCCACCGAGCAGCTAGCAATGAAGCCAGGAGACTGTGGGCCAGGTTTCAGAGGGCGCTGTTTCCCAGCCTCAGGCCTTGGGACGGAGCTGTCTTGGCTGTGGGAGGCCATGGGCAATCTTCTGCTCGCCACAGAGGTGTGGCCAGAGGTGCGCTTTGTGCTGGGGCTTGTGTTAGAGTTGGCGAGGCGATGAGGGGAGAACGGTGGTTACGTTTCGGTCTGACAGCGTCCCGGAGAGGTGGCGGGTGAGGGGCTCGGCTTCTTCCGTGGGAAGAGCATAAAAGTATGGATGTGGGGTCTCTGGGCTCATTTGCGGGGGGACCTTGGGCGGGTCACTCTCTCTCTGGGCCTCAATTTCTTCACCTAAAATGTGGGGAGGCTGGCCTAAATCCATGGCTCTTTTCCCCGGAAATGGGGCTTGTATTAGGATTATTTGGGAAACTTTGATCAAGATACTTGCTGGCACCCCACTCTGGGGCTTCATATTCTGAGTCTAGGGCAGCTGGAGCCTCTTGAAAAGCCTCCCGGGACAGTCTGATCCCACGCCTTCACTCCCTCAGAAGTCCGGAGCCTGGATGGCCACGGGTGCCCTCTGTGGCTCGGCGGCAATGACTCTCTGGGCCTCCGAGAGTGGGTGGACCCCTGCCCTTCACCACGCCCCAGGGAGCCCCCTCGTCCCTCCCTGTTGGAACTGGCCGTCTGGGCCAGGCCTGTGGTGCTGAGGGACCCTCGCGGGGAGGTCGCACTCGCCTTCCAGATGATGTTCCCGGGCGATAGAGCCCGATAGGGCTGACCCCACCTGCCCTAGGAGCCGCGGGCCACATGTGCAATTCTTCCATCTGAAACTTAGAAAGCACCCGGACGTCAGGAGCTCTAAGAGGTCTCATAGGCAGGACAGGGGCTTGGATTCAGAATGTTTCATGGACTCAGTTCTGTGATTCTTGAGCGGTTCGACCCTGAATCAAAAACACCCACCTGGCAAAGTCCCTGTGAGTATTCAGGGAGTTGGCGTGGGCCACGTGGCCACGTGGGGGCGGGGGGCCCAGCCCCTTAGTCCTCCTCCCCCACTGGGCCCCAATCCCCACAGAGCAGGAAGGGCTCCTAGGAGGGTTTTTAGAGACGAGCGGCAGGAGGCCCGGAAAGGAAAAGTGAGTTGCCACATGGGGCCCCAGTGAGAGCACCCTGAGGGTGGCCCTGCCTCTTGACTCCCAGGTGGGGCCCTCCCTCTGATTTTCGGGCTTTGTGCTCCTGCCGGGAGAGCTGGGCTGTGGCCCAAAAGAGAGGGTGGACATGATTGGGCGCCAAGGGGGCTGGAAAGCCCGGCAGGGTTCCCACGCCCTCCGGGACGCCAGGGCACGGCGCCAGCGGTGCAGGAAACCATGGGGAAAAGAAAACACCCCAGCATTTCCATGCCACAGAGTGAGGCTGCAGCAGCAGGAAGTGGCAGCCATTTATTCCAGAATATGCCCACCCAAACCCAACAAGGCCACCATGATTCAGGGGACACGCCCACAGCCTGTTGGGAAAGTCCCCTGAGCAGCCCTGCACTCTCTGGAGTGGCAGATGGACGGGCCGAGTCCCGCCACAAACCCACAGCGTGCTTCCTGGCGCCT